TCAGTCAAGCTCACACAAAAAGGTTGGGTCAGGCTCAGAATTCGACATGCCCACAAACTTTTGGCTCGAGTTGTTCCGCATGGCCGCCTTTACCCTCTTGGCGCTTGTAAAAGTTGGGTCGAAAACCAACGTCCATGCGCCTTCACTGAGGACCTTATGGAGTGTTCCGGCCGGAAGGGGTTTGGTCAAATGGTCGGCAAGCTGTTGGTCACTATGCACCCAGCGAGCCTTGGTTCCTAGCTTTGCCAAGGATTCAAGCAGGCAAAGCACCTCCAATGCGGAATATTTATCACGCAACCCTGCCGCGGCCGAATTGAGATCACTCTTCAACAAAATGTCAAAAAGTGCTTTTGCATCTGTGACAACTGTTCCGGGGATTTGCGAGATTGCCTTCTCGCTGGCTTTCAAATCAACTTCAAAAGCACAAAACTCTGCCCAGGCTAGTCGCACAAAAAGGAGCTCTTGATCTGCCTCGCTCATAGCCTGGGTCTCTGCTGCCAAGCTGCTTCTGGCCTTTCGAGCTAAGCGGCTGGAACGCCAAGAGACTAGCGTCAAAGGAGCACGCTCACCAAGCAACATCTTCTCCGAAGTAGCCGCTATGAGGAATCCTCCAGTAGAGCTGAGGTCGATGCGATTTGCGAGAGCTGCGTCGCTCCATGCCACGAAGTGAACCGATCGGGGATCCTCCACACCCAGCTGATTAATTCGTGCCGACAAGTAGCGATGCTGGAAGTTCTCACGAATCAGCTTGTTGGTGGCCTTGATGGTCTCAATGTTGGCTTTGGTGATGGAGCTCTGCAGCTGACCCAGTCGGGCCATCAGGTGAGGCGCGGTCTGTTGCGCCCGCCACTGAAGTGCACCGAGTGCTCCCCGAAGCTGAGACATCTCGTCTTTGGTCAAAGGCTCATGCTCATTCTTGGTGGTGTAGGTGATCTGCTCAATGGCCTCACAATAGGCTGAGTGATCGAGAGTGAAGCTGCTGTCAGGCTCTTCACGAATGCGAATGCCACAGTGCAGGAAATTCTGGTGTTCCCATGGTGACCATCGAAACCTGCCGTGGAATGCCTGTAGTGCTTCAACCCATTGTTCACACTCTTCATTGCCGCTGATGATAAAATCATCAACGTGAGAGCAAATGTAGCCAGCCAGCTCTTTGGGTCGCTCGGGGTCGCCAGTCTCCATGTAGTAGAACCAGAGACATGGGTCACTGCGGCTCTGTGTGAAGTTCAGCTCAGCAAGAGTGCGTCTGATGCACAAGTACCAGTTAGCAGGTGCGTTCACCAGGCCGTAGCAGGACTTGAGGACCTGGACCACCTCATTCTCCTTCATGTGGAGGGCTTCAGCCAGCTCTGGAACCGGGCGAGCATAGAGAGCTCTATCTGCTTCATCCGGGTCGCCTTGCAAGAAGGCTGACTTCACGTCCCCTTTGAGCAGGCGCCAGCGCATGATGCTGGAGTACTGAAGGGCCAACTGGCGTGTTCGTTTGGACATTGTCGGTGCTGAGCTCTGAATTGAGCCTAGGTCGGGGTCTTCAAAACCGATCAGCACTATTCTGCCTTTGGCTGCTCCATTCTCCTTGTAGGTCAACACCCACCGCATTCTCACTAGACGATCTTTGGGGTAGTCGCCTGTGATGCGCTTCACGGCTGAGGCAGTGAGCCATTGCTGCACCTCCAAGTGTTTTGCCTCCATGAATTTCTTCTTCTCGGTGGGATCAAGTTTGTGCCTTTGGATTTCTGCTCCACGCACCTTCTTCACGAAGTAGTTGATGGGTGTTCGTCGCATCTTTCTCCACTCATTGGCTTTGCTTGGCAAGTCCAGGTAGAGAACGCAGGCGTAGTCAGCCAAATCCTCCATGGGCGTGGTCATAGTGTCACTGACCATCATCGCCTCATCTTCGCCTTGGTGTAGGCGTCGTTGCTTCTTGAAGATAGGCTGCTCAAAGAGTTCTGGAACAGTTCTGGGTTTTGGCACTGGCTCGGGTGTGTATCTTGGATCTCGTGCCAATCTGGACAGGCTGACCTGGGATGAACTGGTGCCAGATGGTTGTGGTGTGGCTGGTGCCTTGGACGCCGTTTCTGGTTTCACCTTTCTCTCATGCGTCTCTCCTGAACCTCTTCCGGGAGTTCTGGATCTCTGGGATGCTGTCGGAGTTGCTGGTTGCTGTTGCGGTGCTCTGGGAGTGCCTGGTGCCACGCCTGGTGATCCGGGGGGTGCCGGGGTTCCGGCTTCTGGACCTGGCTCTTCGTTCCCGGGGTGGCCCTTGTGCATCCAGGTCTTCCGGGAAGACGTTCTTGTCCAAAATCTCATATTCACCCTTGTAGAGCGTCTTGGTGAGTCCATGGAAAGTCCATGAGGCCGTAGGTGAGTCTGCATGCTCTGCCAGGGTCTTTTCTCGTTCTGAGGCGTGCCGAAGTTGTTCAGGAGCACACCGTTTCAGCCTGCCGTGTGACACAATCCACACGATGTGGGAAGGCTTCCGTTCAGCACCATGAGCATCGGTCCTGGTTTCAGAGGCCAAGACACGGGCTGGACCATACCAGCGCCACAGCTTGTGAGCCATCCTGACTGATGCCTGTGGTTGAGCAGGAGGTTTGATTCTCTTGAAAAAGACTAGGTCACCAGGTAAGAAGATCTGGTGTCGGCGGGTCTTTGCATTGGCCGCTCGGGTGATCTGGTCGAAGGCCTGGTTCTTCATGAAGACATTCTGTGCCATCACTCGCTGTTTGAGGTTCACGGCCATAGCGCTTCCAGGAACACCTGAAGACGTCCAGAAAGGGAGGTCGGGCGACTTTTCATGGAAGCTTCCGCTCAAAGTAGGCATTCGTCCGAAGGCCCACTGGAAGGGAGTGAACCCCTCAATGCGTTCACCTTCATTGTGACTGCGGCATGCATGGATGATTGCTGACCATGCATCAAACTCTCCGGACTGGAGCAGCTGCTTGACGGTGTTCTTCACCGTTTGAATCATCCTCTCAACCACGCTGATCTGCTGACGAGCTTCAGCAGCGCATGGCAAAACTTCAATGCCTCTCTCAGCAGCCCATTGCGCCAATTCTGAGGACTTGAAGGCGCCCTCAGGGTCCAGCCGGATGGCGGCTGGATTGCCATAGTGCCTGATCCAGGTCTCCTCAATGGCCTGCATAGCTTCAAAGCCTGTGCAGTTTCGGCTCACCGTTTTCTCATGCTGGAAGAGGTAGTGAGGGCAAACAAGGCGTGAGGCCTCGTCCATCATAATCATGCAATGGATGACCTGGTTGTCGACGGTCATCTCAGCATTGTCCAGAACCAGTGTTTCCCACAAAGTGTCGGACCGCTGAAGAGCTCCAGAAGGGTTCAACTCAGCTAGCCGAAGCTCTTGACATTCTGGACATTGATATTTCTTTGCCATCTCAATCACCTCATGGTGAGCTCCACGATGTTTGAGGCAACCAGATAGGGCATGATTGGAGGGATGCCCGGTGCGTCGGTGTAGCTTGGCCAGAGTCTGCATGGCCATCTTTCGTTCACTGTCGCTCAAAGGTTTCTCTAAGTTGAGCTCCTTCTCATCCTCCATCAGGGTGTCATCGAAGATGGGAAAGGACTCGGCAAAGGCTCCACCATCCAGAGAGTGGTTCATAGACTGGACCGTGCGAAAGATAGTCCGGCGCATGGCTTCTGGATAGAAGCCCGAGTTTCGAGCATCTTGCCCACCAATGCATTCGGCATGCTCGCGGTTTCCAGGACATCGGCGAGTCAGCGCAGCTGCCATAGAGGGTGAAGTGCAAACCACCTTCCATGGTTTCTTCAAAGGCATACCCACTGCATTCTTCACGCCGAAGGCGCAGCCATGGATGTGGGCATGGTGCGTCTCCTTGAACTGGTTCATCAGATCATAGAGGACCTTGAGCTCGGGAAGTCGCCAGCCACCGTTGTTTTGAGGCCATTCCCAACATACATGTCCTCCTTCTTCAAGCTGTGTCTTCACCAGGCGAAGGGCATTGCGAGTGAGCTTCCGAGATCTCTTCTTCTTCAGAAGCAGTGCTGCTTCTTGCTCCGGAGTTGCCTGGTTGAAGATGTGCTGAATAGGAGAGTAAGGTCCGCAAGGAAGAGAGATCCACATCATCTTGGGTCTCAAGTCATGGATCATGGCGATGATCTCCTCAGTGTCCTTGGAGTTGGACAGGTCATGGGCCGGCAGGCCAACTCGGATCGCCTTGCGGTTGTTGTCCAGGAATGTCTGAGACAAGCGACTGTCAGGAGGGCAACGCACTTCCATCAAGTCTACCTGAGACGACGTGTTGAAGAGCACTTCAAAGGTCTCCTCTGCCTCTTGTTGATAGTGGTCGGCTGAGGTCATGAGGCTTTCCTGCTGCAGTGGAGTCAGCTTTCCATAGATCTGGCCGAAGGGATCTTCAGTATCGTAGGTCTCGTCGGTGATGTGGTGTCTCACGGCTTTTCGGGAGATGGTGTCACTTTCTCCCACTCCGCTGTCTCCTGTTCCTCGGATTCCTGGACATTCTCTCTCTTGAGGGTCTTCTTGGGAGCTGAGGCATTGAGGACTACGTCCTGTTCCTGCTTGACCGCTTCCGGTCGAGCTCGTGCTTGTCGTTCTCGAGGACTTCCAGCTTCTTTCGAAGGGAAGCTTCTGCTCCAAGAGTGCTCGCCATCTTCATGTTCAGGTTCTCCCGGACTTCTGGTTTGTCCTTGATGTCGTCCTTCACCTGCTCCATGACGGTCGTCACATCTGGAGCAAGGGGTCCGGGCTGGCGATAACACCCTTTTGCACCGTACGCCGGCACGTACTCGATCCGGAGCCGACATAGAGTGCACACTGTCCATTTGCCATGGCCATTTCTGCCTGACAGGCTCCCACGCCCCTCGGGCATCGGAGTGTGGTTTCCATAGCAAGGAAATCCTTGTGCCCGGCTGTCCCGGCCGTCGGGACCTTCCCTGCGGCTCACGTCGTACTTCTCCGGTGTCGGCACCCTGGTGCCCTTCTTCTTCGTGGTCGTCTTTGGAACCGGAGTCGTGGCCAAAGCCTTGGTGGCTTCGCTGGACTGTGCCGCCATGGGGAAGCCAGGGAAGCGAGCTTGGAGTCGAAGAGCTTGGAGGAGAGGTTGTCGAAGAAAGCACGGTAGCAGCTACCACAAATGGCAAAGCGCACCGCATGCTTGAGCCTGAGTCCATCGGATTCGCATCATTCACGCAGGTGGCATTCTGTGACAAAAGAGAGCTTTGCAAAACAGACTCATGTGCTTCTTCGTGTGCAACTGCTGGCAAAACATGTTCAAATACTGCATGCGACTCTTCATGACAAACTCCATCAAAAACATCATGACTCATGCGCTCATGCCGATCGTGAAGAGGCTCTTGGAGTGTTGGTGGAGTGGTGTGAACATTCTCAAAAACATTCTTCTCACATGAGGTGGTGTCATCAGCAAGTGCGGCCTTGTACATCGGAGCGGGCTCAGAGTCGTGCAAGTCGTGCACCGTGAGACATGAATCTGGCCGGTCAGAGAGCCAGTCTTTGGTGAGGTCCAAAAGTAAATGGCCATTGGATGCTCGTTTCAGCTTGATCCAAACTGAAGGATCTACCTCCTTGAAACAGATCAGGCCTTCATCAAAATCTATCACAGCACGGAGGGTCGTCAGTGTCTTGACTGACAGCAACAAAGGAATGCCCGGTGCATCCAGGGCGTGAACGCCCAGCTTCACATGCTTTCCTGCCACTATCTGGGGAAGCTCTACAAAAGACACTGCGTTCTGGATGCTCCCGTTTCCAAAACGGAAACGTTTCTGTTGAGCATGCACTACAAAATGCTCAGGACCGTGGATCGAGGCTCGCAACTCCATGACCTCATGCATTGCCTCCAAGCTAGCGATCGATTCCGTCGCGCCGGAGTCCAGCACTGCGTGGCCAGGAAATTGGGCAGCCAAAGTCGCAAGAACATCTCCGGTGGGAAAGGTCACATCAGCAATCTCGTCAGCTTGCTCAGAACTGACCATGAACACCGCTGCAGCATAGAGAGATCGGGCCGGAGCTCCTGTGCTGGAAGAACTCTGTCTCTTGGGGCAGCGCCTAAAGTCGTGGTCCTGAGAACCACAAACAAAGCAACCTTTGTAGGTCGGACTGCCAGGCTTCTGCCCTGATGGAGCTCCTTTCGCCCCTCCAGCGTAGAGTGCAGCCGTGCTGGTGGCCAAAGAACTGTTGGGGGGATTCTTGGTCTTAGACTTTCCTTTCCCTTTTCCTTTGGCTTGCATGAACTTACCCTTCATTTGACCAAGGGGGTAAAAACCTCTGGACAAATGTTTTGCTGAATTGAGTGCTCGGCTCTCCTTGAATGTTCGAAAGCGATCTTGAAAGGCCGCATAGGCCTCTTGCAGCGGATCTCCATCTGAGGTCGGAGCATCGCACATATCCAACCAGGTCTTGGTCTCTGACCAGGACCAAAAGATTCCTGCAGCATCCGAGGCATAGAAATCATCTTCATGCCATTCCCAACTCAGCTCTTGGCCATCAGGGAGCCAAGTCGACCAAGCACTGCTTTCATCAGCAGGAGCACTGTAAACATCAGGGGGGAAGTCGTTCGCCAACCCAAAACACATTGTCATCAACATCTTCAATGTCAACTTCTGACAACAAGCCCCAATGTGCATCCTCTTCAACCCAAAATGATCGACGAGGTCGGGGCAAATCACCGCGACTGCGATGGGCCTCGGCGGCCAACAACTCCTCCTCCTGGTCACGCATAGCACGCTCCATAGATGCAAGGTCCAACCTGTTGTTTGTAGCGCTCAACACTGACAACCTAGCATTTGCTGGACGGCCGCTCCTGCGCAAAAGGATCCAACCAAGGATCTCATCCGGTAAAATGCGCTCGGAGCCCAAATCAAATTGTTCCCACTCAATCACCGGATCCTCCTCTTCATCCTCCTCCCAAGCTGTCCATGACATGGCATCGTCTCGACGCCAATGGCGGTTTCTGCGCCGCCACGTGTCCCACTCCTCCTGGGTCCACCAATCATTGCCTGCATCGGAGCCAGGGTCTTGTGTGGGAACACGCTCATAGGCACCTCGGTCGGGCTCATCTGTCTCCCTTGGATCATCAGGCCTGTCGGTCTGGCCGTTTCCAGAATCGGTGGCCGGAAATCCAGGACTTGCGCTCTCAACTGAAGCTGTAGGGGCTTTGGGTGTAGTGACATCCGACTGTCGACGATGACCTGGGTTGGAGTGAGTCGAAAACATTGCACGCTCTCTCAACTGACCATCACGGTCTGCCAAGTCTTTTCGCTGTCGTGCCATAGCTCGCTGAAGTCGACGGTAACTTTCTCTCACCTGGGTTGCCCACTCTGCCATGGACGAACCAGGTGTTCGCCTCAGGCGAAGAAAGAAGTCTTCCAGCCTCTGGCCTGTATCCGGGACAGGTGCCTTGCACAAACGCTCTTCCAGAAAACGAAGCAAATATGCAGCACCATCACGCTTCTGCAACTGAGAATGATCGACCTCAGCGCTGACGATGTCCCATGCTCGGCCCGTGAGCCTCGAAGCAAGCTCTGCACCCAACAAGCACCTCCTCTTCTTCTCTGTTCGCTCAAACTGCAAGCGGACCCGTTTCACGTATTCCAGCCACGTGGTAGGGTCACCGTTCCACGTGGCCACTTGCTCCTTCTTCTCCATCATCGTTGCCATCTCACAATGTAAAAGGTTGAATTCAACAGTCCGTCAGGTCAAAGGCAAGGGAAAAGTCAACGGTCGTGGCTGACGTGCCTTCACACACAAATCAATGATCGATGTTCGATCTCCGGTTGGATTTGTGGTGGGCAACAACGAAGGGACAAGGCCAAGTTGCTCTGCAAGAAAGTCCTGAAACTCCAGTCAGCCACCGACCCTGGCAACGGTGCCCCCAGTCCGAAGACCGGAGGCTCCGCTACCAGTGTCGGTAGCAGGGTAGCCTCTAGTGGAAAGAGCGAAACCCCAAGTACCAATGTATGGCAACCTCAACTGCCAATCAATGCAAGTGCAACCTGTAGCACCAACAAACCACAGAGGTACCGAAACCTCTGACAAAGCTGCGCACCAAGCCAGCTTTTCCTTCAAGCGCCGTAGCGTAGTCAAGCACACATGGCTTGCAAAGGAGATTCGGCAAAAGGGTCCCCTGGTAAGGCATTGGGCCAAGCGGAATGACGGAAAGCCAAAACATCAGTCAAGCTCACACAAAAAGGTTGGGTCAGGCTCAGAATTCGACA